TTCACCATGTTAGCCAGGATGGGCTCAATCTCTTGACCTCGTGATCTGCCCGTCTTGGCCTCCCAAAGTGCTGGGATTACAATGAGTGAATTTCTTAATCCTAAGTTCTAGTTTGATTGCACTGTGGTCTGAGAGACAGTTTGTTATAATTTCTGTTCTTTTACATTTGCTGCGGAGTTCTTTACTTCCAACTATGTGGTCAATTTTGGAATAAGTGCAATGTGGTGCTGAGAAGTATGTATATTCTGTTGATTTGGGGTGGAGAGTTCTGTAGATGTCTATTGGGTCTGCTTGGTGCAGAGGTGAGTTCAATTCCTGGGTATCCTTGTTAACAAACAAAGCTGGACGGAGAATGACTTTGACGAGTTGAGAGAAGGCTTCAGATGATCAAACTTCTCCGCACTAAAGGGAGAAGTTCGAACCCATCGCAAAGAAGCTACAAACCTTGAAAAAAGATTAGATGAATGGCTAACTAGAATAACCAATGAAGAGAAGTCCTTAAATGACCTGATAGAGCTGAAAACCATGGCACGAGAACTATGTGACAAATGCACAAGCTTTGCTAACCGATTCGATCAACTGCAAGAAAGGGTTTCAGTGACTGAAGATCAAATGAATGAAATGAAGTGAGAAGAGAAGTTTAGAGAAAAAAAAGAGTAAAAAGAAATGAGCAAAGCCTCTAAGAAATATAGGACTATGTGAAAAGACCAAATCTACATCTGATTGATGTACCTGAAAGTGACAGGGAGAATGGAACCAAGTTGGAAAACACTTTGCAGAATATTATCCAGAACTTCCCCAACCTAGCAAGGCAGGCCAACATTCAAATTCAGGAAATACAGAGAATGTCACAAAGATAGTCCTCAAGAAGAGCAACTCCAAGACACATAATTGTCAGATTCACCAAAGTTGAAATGTACCACATTTTCTTTGTCCAGTCCACCATTGATGGGCATCTAGGCTGATTCCATGTCTTTGCTATTGTGAATAGTGATGTGATGAACATATAAGTGCATGTGGCTTTTTGGTAGAACCATTTATTTTCCTTTGGCTATATATCCAGTAATGGGATTGCTGGGTCAAATGGTTTATCTGCCTTATTTATGGCTGACTGTCCAATCACAAGAGCAGTGCCTGGGACATCATGCAGAATTGAATGAATAAACATGGCCTTCAAGTATTTTAGTATATAGTCAAAGTGAAATTTCACTTTCAATTCCTGATCCGATAAGATAAAATTAGGACAGCAGGTTATGACATTAAAAACATTATTGAATATTATATTTTGACCTTGCCATGAGAATCACTGGTATATACTGGTAGTTGCTAGTGGCATTACATGAAATCTTACAGTTGTGCTTTTGCTCTCTTAGGACTCCACTGATGGATAGCTGGTATTCTTTATCATATCTGTACTTCAGCACTGTTGGAACTTTGGTAACATTATTAGTGGGGATACTTGTCAGTTTACCAACAGGTAACTATCTAAACATTAGTATTGTTGTATTTACCTCTATATCAGTTTTTACTGTATCTGTTTTATAGCTTTTTATGTTATTGTACTGTGATCCTATTGACAGCTAGTTTAATTATTTCTTCTGTTTTACTCATGGGAAATCTGAAGGCTTAGACTAGAAAGCAGAAGACTCATTTCTATTTGAATCTTGGTTCTGCCCTTTAGGGCCTGCATGAACTTGGGCAAGTCACATAGCTACACTGAGCCTCAGCTTTCTTATGTGTAAAATGAGGACAATAATAATTGACCTGCCCATCTCACAAGTTGCTGTAAGACAAAAATAAGATGCTTGAAAAAAACTTCAATGTTAGGGATTTTACACATATTTTTACAATAACCCAATATGCTATGATCTTTACATTGTCCCGTATTCATTCTTTGTAAACTATAAGGAAGCATAGACAGGTTATATCTAAACATAGTGTGGAGGCTTTTTTTTCAGATGTTTATCGTTTTTTAAAAAAGTATGTTTATTTTTAAAAAATCAATTTGATACACATAGTATATAAATTGCTCTCTGGGATTGCTATAGAACTGTTATCTTGGAACTCCATTTTGTCCTTATTCTGTGAATTCTCTTGGGCCCTGTTCCTGTGTTGGGTTTTCTACTGCCTATATTCATTACTTCTCATTCTCATTTACTCCCTTAATTGAATGGAACACATCCTGTAGCATATTCTCAAGAATGAGTAGACAAAAGAAGAGGTTTTGGGTCTGAAAAAAATTATTTAATCTATCTTATGCTTGATTGATTGTTTGAGTAGAAATTCCCAGGATTGAAAAGAACTTTTCTTTTTTCTGAGAGGATGTCTGAATTTTTTTCTAGCTTGCTATGTTGCTGTTGTGACAGTGCCATGCTACCAGCTGACACTTTGCGTGTGTCCCATTTTCACAATGACTGCCTTGGCCTAGGCCTTCAGTAAGGCTCGTTCAATCTGAAGATCCATGTCCTTCAGTTCTGGACATTTTCTTTTTTCTTTTCTTTTCGTCCTTTTTATTTTTATTTTTTAAAAAAATAATTTTCTGTGTTCTCTCTCTGGGAACTCCTATTAGTCAAACATTTGAATCAGAATCATGGACAGTTCCTCTAATTTTCTCGTTTTTTTCTTCTCTTATTTTTCATCTCTGTGTCTTTTAGGTCTACTATGTGGGATATTTTTTCACTTACTTTTCCAATAATTCTCAAAGGAGTGCTCTGATCCAGTTTTGAGAATAGTCTGTAGGGGAACGAGGGCAGGGAAGAGGCTATTGCAGTAACCCAGGTGAGAGATCACAGTGCTGGGGCCGGGGTAGTGTGGAGTTGGTGAAATGTGCTGGGCTCCCTGACTCCCTACATCCCCTCACACATATGCATCCATAGCAGCCATGCCAGGGGAAGGGTGCACTGCCTCCTTCAACATGTGTTACAACTAGTCAGAAATCGTACACTGTGTTCAAGGATGTCTCATGTCTTTGTTTGCTCCATGCTACAAAGTTGCCAGGACTGTGCCACTTTACAGAATCCTGCTATCATTTTATGTTTTTTTGGTACTGGATAGCACTGTCTCTCAAACTTTTGTGACACTTGTATTTATAATTATAAAATTTGTTGCTATCCATTATTTATCAAACAGTTGTTGGAAAATATTCTCTTTCTTTTCCAAAACGACTGTGCTCTTTCTCAAAAATAAAATTCCCAGCACGGTAGGTTTATTAATTTTTTTGGTCCAGTTTGATATATTTTAAGACAGATTTTTTTGTTGTTATTGTTGAGATGGAGTCTCACTCTTTTGCCCAGCCTGGAGTGCAGTGGTGCGATCTCGGCTCACTGGAAACTCTGCCTCCTGTGTTCAAGGGATTCTCTGGCCTCAGCTTCCCGAGTAGCTGGGATTACAGGCGCGCACCACCATGCCCGGCTAATTTTTGTATTTTTAGTAGAGATGGAGTTTCACCATATTGACCAGGCTGGTCTCGAACTCCTGACCTCAGGTGATCCAACCACCTCGGTCTCCCAAATTGTTGGGATTACAGGCATGAGCCACCATGCCCGGTCTTAAGACAGATTTTCATCTTTTCCCAGAAGTCATTCCGTTTTTCAGATCTGGAATACACCTAACCAGTCTCTCTGTACTATTTGCCCTTTGGTCCTTATTTAGCTCAGTTTTTAAAAGAAAGTGGAGTATCAGAGTACCTCCTTTGAGTACTCCTTTTTTTTCTTTTAAATGCTTTGATTCTGAAAAACCATATACAGCTATATCTTTTGTTTCAAAAAGTAATGCTCTACCTCAGTGACTGGGGTCCAGTAATAAAAGACACTTCAACTTCATTAACTTCACAAATAACTTATTCCTACTTCACAGAAACAATGAGTACCTTGAAAACTGTCGAGAAGCACACGATTTTGATGTTCCTTGGGAAACAGATTTTAAAACCTATTGTAGTATACTAAAACTCCCGTAAGAGTGCAGGCCTTGCAGACTTGGTTGGCGTTTCAGCACTCCCCTGATTTTTACTATGCAGAAGGCTATGTTTTCATCAGGAAAACGGGGGCAAATCGTTTCCTAAGTGAGATCACAAGTTGTGGGCACAGTGATTGTTTTGTTTCTCTGTTTCTCTAGCACCTAGCAGCATCTCCAGCACACAGCAGGTACTCAATAACATTGCATGAACTTATTTAAAATTGATTCTATCTCCAGAACAGCAAAGGTTCCCATAATTAAAAGTCTAGTATTTGTACTAAAGTAGTGGTTCTTAAACTTTAGAGGGCGTAAGGATCCCCTTGGAAATTTTATAAAAATTAGGCTTCAGGGGTCCTATCCGCAGAGGTCCTAATTTGGTCAGTCCAGGCTAGAGTCTGGGAATCTGCATTTTATGTACATTCTCTGAGTGATTTGAGTCAGGGTAGTTTGAGGACCACTCTTTGAGGTACACAATTTTTAAAAGCATCCTCTTTGATCCACAAAAAATACCAAAGCAGAATAGTGTTTTTTTTTTTTTTAAAGAAAACCTTAAGGAAGAGGATTTGGATCAAACATCAGTCAGCATACTGATTTTCATTTAAATAATTTATTCAGCAGTTCAGACTTTCCTGCATTTCTTCATAGACATGTATATTTGTAGCCACGAAAGTGGGGGAAAAGCAGCTCCACTGTCTGAAGCAGAGGCAGATGGTTTGATATTTTACTGATGGCATGGAGGGTGCTTTTAAACCAGTTTCCCTACCAGCATTGGGCCAGATGACTGTTTCTCTAGTTGAGTACCAGATGAAGCAATTGGCTTGCATTTTTTGCTCTATCTCACATACATATATGTGAGATATATATATATATATTTTATATATATGTATTTTTTACATATATATTTTATATATATGTATTTTTTATATATATATATATGACAAGACTCATATTTATTATAGTGAGAGGCTTTCAAGACCCAGGGCTGACTAAGGGAAGGGGAGTTGTGGGCTAAGTGATCAGCGTTTTTAAGTTTCCCTTTCTCTTTGTGTTTTATGAATGTATGGAGTTGAATGTGTACAAGTTAAATGCCTGTATAATGGAATGTCTCTGTGTAGTTACTGGTGTCCTTTTTAACAACGTAAGTCATGTACTTTTTTTTTTTTTTCCAGGAGGAAGAAAACAGAACTTAGACCCCAGATATATACTAACCAAAGAGGACTTTTTATCCAATTTTGATATTTTTAAGAAAGTGAGTTGGCTTTCATTTACCATGAGTTAGGAAACTGGGCTTTATTACCTGGATAGAACACTAGTTAGTCCTCAGCCTCTTTCTTGAAAAGTGATGGACAAGAAAGGTATAGACCCTATATAATCTGATCTATATATGTTGGACAGCTCTCTATCCTATGGTGATCTATATCTGTTTTATAGCTCCATATCCTCTGATACACTATAGCTATTGTTTATCTGTCTACCCTCCGATGAGCTATATCTGTTATATATCCTCTTTCCTTTGATGATCTGCATCTGTTGTATATCTCTCTATCCTCTGATAACCTATAACTGTTGTATATCCCTCTATTCTCTGATGAGCTATACCTGTTGTATATTTCTCTAAATCTGTCTATCCTCTGATAATCTGTATCTATTGTATCTCTCCAAATATCTATCTATCCTCTGATAACCTGTGTCTGTTGTATATCTCTCTATATCTGTCTATCCGCTGATAACCTGTATCTGTTATATCTCTCTGTATATCTGTCTATCCTCTGATAACGTAAATCTGTTGTTTATCTATTGTCTGATGGGCCATTTTATATCTATCTTCTGATAACCTGTATCTGTTGAGTATCTACCCTCTGAGGAAGTATACCCGTTCTATATTTCTCTCTCTCAGTAGATTAGAAAGCTGATGTAGAGAAATCAAAATAGTAGGAACAATTTTTTAGAATTACATGAATGAAGAGCTTATTTTTTTCCCCTAATCACCATGTTAACATTTTCTTTTAGAAGAAGCATGTTTTAAACTATAAGTCGCATCCAGTGGAAGATGGTGGAACTGATAATCCTGCTTTCAACCACATTGAATTGAACTTCTCAGATCAGAGTGGCAAGAGCAATGGGACTCGTTTGTGAAGCAGCTCTGATATTAGATGCCCTTAAATGATGTTTCAATTTTATATGTTTTCTAAGATAATTGGATCAGGTTTTCTTTGTGTGTGTGTATTGTATCATGAGTGTTTGGGGGATAAGGTTTTGTTAAAACAAAGTCTGGACTATCTTCACTTACTACATCATTAATTGATGTTACTCTGGAGTTTAGAATTTTGGCATTGACATTTCCCTCTCTTTCCTTTATTTCAATGAAGCTGTAATTGTGAAAATTATAACTACATAGACGCTGAAAGGCTATGCACATGTATTTGATTGTCAACAGTATATTCTTAAATTTGGGTATTATTGAAAATATTTTCCATGCCTTGGTGCTAGCATATAAGTTTGGAAGATTGCCGAAATCATAATTCATCTTGAAAAGAGCTTTTTGGCCGGGCGCGGTGGCTCAAGCCTGTAATCCCAGCACTTTGGGAGGCCGAGTCGGGTGGATCACGAGGTCAGGAGTTCGAGACCATCCTGGCTAACACGGTGAAACCCCGTCTCTACTAAAAAATACAAAAATCTAGCCAGGCGAGGTGACTGGCACCTGTAGTCCCAGCTACTGGGGAGGCTGAGGCAGGAGAATGGCGTAAACCCAGGAGGCAGAGCTTGCAGTGAGCTGAGATCCGGCCACTGCACTCCAGCCTGGGTGACAGAGCGAGACTCCGTCTCAGGAAAAAAAAAAAAAAAAAAAAAAAAGAAAAGAGCTTTTTACCCTCCTACCACATACACCATTCTTAGGGAGCAATGAAGTAACAGGTCTGTGTTGTCTGGATCTTTGCTTTTTATTTCCCCATTAGCCCAGGGCATATACTAACCTGCAAACTGATTCTGGATCAGGAAGGTAGTAATCAACAAGCATTCTGTCTGCGAAAGACCATGGACCCAATGATCAAAGTCTTCTTGGTGCTGTTCATTAATTCTTGTGCCTTTTGGCTTGTTTTCTAGAGTTTCTGGACTTCGGCTGCTGATACTGTCTTTATTTTTATCTGCATGCCCAGTTTCTGATCTATCAGCTTGGGTTTTGTTGTGCACTCTACCTGAGCTTGTCTTCATAATTTTCCGTTTATTGCCCTGGGCTTGGATATGTCTCAAGACACTCAAGTGAATCATGCCACCCCCAATCCTGGCTTATCAAGTCCCAGACTATAAATTATGAACTCCCATTAGCTTGGTACTAACATATACTTGATGTAGGTACTTATGGATTTGATGATCCAAGAATATTCTTCAAAATGGTTAAGCTCCATGGAGTTAGATGACTGCACTTAATGCTATTAAGTTGAACTTTTGAATGTCAACTAATTTGCAATCAATTAAACTTAAAGATACATATGCCTAGAAATTTTGAAATGTTAGTATATTTATCCAGTTAAAGAGCTAAATTATATAGGCAAATGCTATTTTTTTTTTTTAATGTCTGGACTCAAAAAATGCTTTGTTCCGTGTTTTAAAATTTTTAAGTAGCAGTTTCAAAGTTGCTTAGCTGTTTATTTTGCTATGTTCCCAGCTAAGAGTTTGGTTATAGGATTTCATCAATAACTTATTTTTTGTACAGTTTCCACATTAGATACTGTTTAAAAGTTCTTCTTTAAGCTTTTCAATTTTTTTAGAAACATAAGAGAAACATTTAGGTACATACAAATGTTTTTATGATTAAATAATTTTATGCTTATTTTCTGATACGTGTTATTTAGGTAATCATACCCTGTATATTTAGAGGTTGCTAACTGACAATGTTAAGAAATTAAAAAAAAAAAATGGCTGGGCATGGTGGCTCATGCTTGTAATCCCAACATTTGGGAGGCTGAGGCAGGAAGATTACTTGAGGCCAGGAGTTTAAGTCCATCCTGGGAACATAGTTAGACCTCATCTCTAGAAATCAATCAATCAATCAATCAATCAATCAATCTTAGCTAGTCATGTTGCCACATACTTGTAGTCCCAGTTACTAGGGAAGCTGAGGTGGGAGGATAGCTTGAGCCCAGGATTTCGAGGCTGCAGTGAGCTATGATTACACCACTGCACTCCAGCCTGGGTAACAGAGTGAAATCTTGTGTCTGAAAAAAAAAAAAAGAGAGAGAGATTTATATAACATTTAAATTGACTACATAAACCTGGGCAATGTGATGAAACTCCATCTCTACAAAAAATACAAGAATTAGCCGGGCACGGTGGTGTGTGTCTGTAGTCCCAGCTACTGAGGAGGCTGAGGTGGGAAGATTGCTCGAGCCAGGAGGTCGAGGCTGCAGTGAGCTGTGATTATGTGACTGTACTCCAGCCTGGGTGATGGAGCCCTGTCTCAAAATAAATAAATAAATAAAATTAAATAAGAAAAATAAATTATATATTCATATATTTCTTATGTGGATATATGTTATTTTTAAATCACTATATTTGTAAGCAAATACCAAATTTTTGGGAGTCTTTCTACAATGTTTTAATAAGTAGAAAGATATATTGTTTGTTTTACATGAATGTGTTTTGAACTATGGTTATTTGTTTAATAATTCTAAATGCACATGTGTGGAAAGTGCTTCAGTTTTGGAAATCAAATTCAGGTCACTTAACTTTTTGTCTTACCTGATTGCCGGGGAGTTACACCATGTGTTCTTAATGAGAAACATGATGTTTCTGTTCTTGTTCATTTTCCTTTAGACAAAGTATATTTTTGTGACATTTAGAACTATCAATATTTTAGTTTTATAAACATATGAGAATGCCAGATAGAATTCTTAAGAAAGCAATGTAATATTATTAACTAAAAATAATTTATCTTAATTTCTAAATTTTTGAATAAAACCAAATAAGAGTAAAATGTTAATCCATTGTCACATAAATCACATAATCTGCTACTCTTAGTTATTTTGAATGATAAAAACACCAGTGCGGGAAAAGCCACAGAAGTTGTCTGTCAATGTCTGTTTTACTGTTGACAAGTTGTATACCCTTGAATTGACCCCTAATCTCCTCTAACAGTGGTACATAGCACTAAGTTCCTACCTACCTCACAGAAACAATGTCAGTAGAAAAGATCAGGTTGAGCTCTTTGGCAAAATAGCACTTTACTAACTCAAATAGTGTTATTTAATATTTTAGTATGATTGGGAATCAAAGTTTGAGACAAAAGTCGTTTCCCAGTTTTTTAAAAAATAGAGCTGTTAATTTGCAATATCATGATGTAGAGATAGTACCTTCTCTTAAAAATATGTGTCATGGAAATGTTAAAATATATTTAGGAGTCAGCAGGATTATTCAGATAGAGGGAATGTAAACTTTAAAGAAAAATATAATTTGGGAGGCAGAGGTAGGTGGATCATGAGGTCAGGAGTTCAAGACCAGCGCAGCCAACATAGTGAAACCCCGTCTCTACTAAAAATACAAAAATTAGCTGGGTATGATGGTGCACACCTGCAGTCCCAGCTATTTGGGAGGCTGAGGCAGGAGAATCGTTTGAACCTGGGAGGTGGGGGTTGTGGTGAGCTGAGATCATACCACTGCACTCCAGCCTGGGCAACAGAGCGAGATTCCATCTCAAAAAAAAAAGGTACATGTGATATTTGCTTTTTCATTCCTGACTTATGTCACTTAGACTAATAGCCTCCAGTTCCATCTAAGTTGCTGCAAAATACATTATTTCATTCTTTTTTATGCCTGAGTAGTACTCCATGGTGTGTGTGTGTGTGTGTGTGTGTGTGTGTGTGTGTGTGTGTATCACATTTTTTATCCACTCATTGGTTGATAGGCATTTAGGTTGATTCCATATCTTTGCAATTATGAATTGTGCTGCGACAAACCTGTGTGAACAGGTGTCTTTTTGACATATTGACTTCTTTTCCTTTAGGCAGATACCCAATAGTTGTTCCAATCCGATTTTTAATTGGGGTAATTTAATCTTTTAAAAGTTAGTCCAAGTTAATTGTTGATAATATCAGGACTTTAAAATAGAAACAGAAGTTCTTAACCTGAGTGTTTTTTCTTTGTCTTGAAAAAATATCAATTTGAAGTTTTAAAATTCTATTTTATATCTCAAAGCTGTAGTTTTGCTTGTGGGGTATAAAATTAAGTGGACAACTAAGCTAGAGAACTTAGGTGCCAAAGATGAACATGTTTATACCCAATCACCCAATTTGGAGCCACATATCAAAGAAGCAGTTGCCAGCGTTTCACCTAGCCTGAAGTTTCCACTTGTCTGTTCTGCCTTTGGTCATCTCATTTAAAGCACCTACTTACTTCCTACCTATTCAAGTCTTGGTTAGGCAAAATGCAGATTTTCCATATACAGGAAATTTGGCATAACCTTTCACTTTGAAGGTCAAATCAGGTCTCTATCATTTAAATTCATGAAAGAAAGAATATTTTGAAGTTGTCAGCTTTGTTACTCATTCCCATTTTGCAATCACATATTTGTTATTCCCTTCTTCATTGAAAAAGGCTTCTTTTACCCCTTACCCACTCACACGTGTGCGTCAAGGTTTCAGGATTCTCTCCATTTCTGCTCTCCTCAACTTTCCAAAGCCAGACCTTTATTCTCTTCTGTATTAGGATCTGGTCTGTCACTGGGCTTTGCTCATTCTATTCTAGAGCTTCTCAAACTTCAGTGTTCATCAGAAGCACCTGGAGGGGCTGGTTAAAACACAGATTTCTGGGCTTCACCCCAGAGTGTCTGATTTAACAGCTCTCAGCTGGGTCCTAAGAATTTACCTTGCTCACCATACTGTTTTCCATAATGGTTGAACTAGTTTACAATCCCACCAACAGTGTAAAAGTGTTCCTATTTCTCCACATCCTCTCCAGCACCTGTTGTTTCCTGACTTTTTAATGATTGCCATTCTAACTGGTGTGAGATGGTATCTCATTGTGGTTTTGATTTGCATTTCTCTGATGGCCAGTGATGATGAGCATTTTTTCATGTGTCTGTTGGCTGTATGAATGTCCTCTTTTGAGAAATGTCTGTTCATATCCTTTGCCCACTTTTCGATGGAGTTGTTTGTTTTTTTCTTGTAAATTTGTTTGAGTTCTTTGTAGGTTCTGGATAGTAGCCCTTTGTCAGATGAATAGATTGCAAAAATTTTCTCCCATTCTGTAGGTTGCCTGTTCACTCTGATGGTAGTTTCTTTTGCTGTGCAGAAGCTCTTTAGTTTAATTAGATCCCATTTGTCAATTTTGGCTTTTGTTGCCATTGCTTTTGGTGTTTTGGACATGAAGTCCTTGTCCATGCCTATGTCCTGAATGGTATTACCTAGGTTTTCTTCTAGGGTTTTTATGATATTAAGTCTAACATTTAAGTCTCTAATCCATCTTGAATTAATTTTCATATAAGGAGTAAGGAAAGGATCCAGTTTCAGCTTTCTACTGATGGCTAGCCAATTTTCCCAGCACCATTTATTAAATAGGGAATCCTTTCCCCATTTCTTGTTTTTCTGAGGTTTGTCAAAGATCAGATGGCTGTAGATGTGTGGTATTATTTCTGAGGACTCTGTTCTGTTCCATTGGTCTATATCTCTGTTTTGGTACCAGTACCATGCTGTTTTGGTTACTGTAGCCTTGTAGTATAGTTTGAAGTCAGGTAGCGTGATGCCTCCAGCTTTGTTCTTTTGGCTTAGGATTGTCTTGGCAATGTAGGCTCTTTTTTGGTTCCATATGAACTTTAAAGCAGTTTTTTCCAATTCTGTGAAGAAAGTCATTGGTAGCTTGATGGGGATGGCATTGAATCTATAAATTACCTTGGGCAGTATGGCCATTTTCACGATATTGATTCTTCCTATCCATGAGCATGGTATGTTCTTCCATTTGTTTGTGTCCTCTTTTATTTCACTGAGCAGTGGTTTGTAGTTCTCCTTGAAGAGGTCCTTTAGATCCCTAGTAAGTTGGATTCCTAGGTATTTCATTCTCTTTGAAGCAATGTGAATGGTTATGGAAAACAGTATGGCGATTCCTCAAGGATCTAGATCTAGAAGTACCGTATGACCCAGCCATCTCATTACTGGGTATATACCCAAAGGATTATAAATCATGCTGCTATAAAGACACATGCACACGTATGTTTATTGCGGCACTATTCACAATAGCAAAGACTTGGAATCAACCCAAATGTCCATCAGTGACAGACTGGATTAAGAAAATGTGGCACATATATACCATGAAATACTATGCAGCCGTAAAAAAGGATGAGTTTGTGTCCTTTGTAGGGACATGGATGCAGCTGGAAACCATCATTCTCAGCAAACTATCACAAGAACAGAAAACCAAACACCGCATGTTCTCACTCATAGGGGGGAACTGAACAATGAGATCACTTGGACTCGGGAAGGGGAACATCATACACCGGGGCCTATCATGGGGAGGGGGGAGTGGGGAGGGATTGCACTGGGAGTTATACCTGATGTAAATGATGAGTTGATGGGTGCAGCATGCCAACATGGCACAAGTATACATATGTAACAAACCTGCATGTTATCCACATGTACCCTAGAACTTAAAGTATAATAATAAAAATAAATAAATAAATAAATAAAAAAGAATTTATCTTGCTCAAAATTTTCCTGAGGATGATGGTGCTTCTGGTCTGGGAGTCACACTTTGAAAACTACTGTTTCAGTCCACAGTTGTCTCTTTGGAAACCAAATCTGATGATTCACTCCTCTGCTTGAAGATCTCTATGACTACAGAATAAAAGCCCCGTCCCTTAGCCTGATGGGCTTCTCAGAAGTATTTATTGGTATCCTCCTTCACATGTTACGTAGGCTTGTCACATCGAGCTTCCCATATGTGCTAAATATACCACCCACTTTCTTGCTTTCTTGTTATTTTACATGCTATCTTCTTTGTCTAGGCTACCCATCCTCTGTCTACTTCTCAGATCTTTGTTTGAAAAACACTGCTCAGTTGTTAGAACCCAGCTTACCTATCACTTCTCTAACTCTTGACACATTCCATGAGGGATCATGACCTATACTTACCTCTAGCTCTAGTCATTTTGATGTACTGTACATGTATGAATGTACACAGGTATCTCTTAGGTGGCACATAGTCTCTATTCCTGATGTTTCCATCTGGGTGGATGAACTGTCCGTTAGAGTAACTTTCTATATCTCTCTCTCTGCCCCTTTCCTGCCTACTTTCCCTATGTAAACGGGAAGTGACTTTTTGTGATCAGTAAGTCTGAGAGAGGAATCAGACATGTATATCTTATTCCTTTCTACTTCCATTTCTCTTTGGCATCCGCCTGCTTAAAGAATATGCATGATCTATGCCTTCCAACCCCTTCCTCCCATGATCTCTTTTACCTCTATTACTCCATGCCAGGCCTTGCCATTCCCTAAAAACATGTTCCTACCTCTACCTCATGGTCATGTGCATTGCTTACAACATCCTACTCAATATCCATTTGGCTCACCCTTTCAGCTCCTACAGGTCTTTATTCCGATGTCATCTTCTAGGTGAGGTATTCTCTGATCTCTATTTAAAATTGCAACTTCCTTCCTCCACACACCTATCCCCCTTGCTTGCTTTCTCTCCTGTCTCTATTATTAGTGAACACACTATATTTTACTTGTTTGTTGTATGTCATTCCCCAATAAAACAAACACTCCAAGAGGTCAGGATTTTTGCTGGTTCTGTTCAGTAATTTCTCTAGTAGATGTAGAACATGGAAGGCACTCAACACAAATTGGAATACTTGCTTTTGGTCATGAGATAAGGGTTAGTGATAAAAAGAGCCTGCTTCCATAGGGATGCTTGGCGTCTTGACACCAGCCTGTGACTAGATGTGTGTAATTCTCAGATTTAATGTTAGGGAAACTTTGTTGCCTTGTAGTTAGTCATGTCATCCATTACCAATAATATTAGTAATATTGTAATAAATAAGAGACTCATCGCTACCATCACTGAGTTTATTGTTTAATACAGAAAATGCGCAAAATACAAGTAGTTACAGTAAAGTGTTGTAACCTGAACACAGAGGTGCCTGCTTGCCACTTGAAGACTAAACTAAAGAGAGAAGAGAGTTGGTGGGAGGAAAAGCAGCTTTATTTGGAGAGCCAGCAGACCAAAAAGATGGTAAACTGTTGTCCTAAAGTAACATCATAAGTCAGTACAAATGGCAGATTATTTTTATGTTAAGAGCAGGGGGAAGGAAAGATGGGCGGGATCAAGAGGTGACTGACAATTGCAGACATCTGGGCACCAACAAGGGTCTAAGGAGGTTGAGAGTTTCTTTTTCCTTGGTCAGGTCACAGTGCTCCTATAAATCTTTAATGAAACATAGTTGTTTACATACTTTCCTTTTAATCACAGAGTTAGTTTCAAAAACTACATGATTGTTTCTTTGCATATGATATGCTTTGGATTTGTGTCCCCACTCAAATCTCATGTGGAATTGTAATCCCTACTGTTGGAGAAGGGGCCTGCTGGAAGTTGATTCAATCATGGGGCGGACTTCCCCATTGCTGTTCTTGTGATAATGAGTGAGTTCTCACAAGATCCGGTTGTTTAAAAGTGTGTAGCACTTACCCTTTTGCTCTTTTCCCTCCTGCTCCAGCCATGTAAGATGTGCCTCCTTCCTCTTTGCCTTCTGCCATGATTGTAAGTTTCCTGAGGCCTCCCCAGACATGTTTCCTGTACAGTCTGCAGAATCATGAGCCAATTAAACCTCTTTGCTTTATGAATTACCCAGTCTCAGGTAGTTTCTTACATTTAATAGCAATGCAAGAATGGACTAATTCAGCATATCTCCGTGCTCTAAAATGATCCTAGCCTAGAAGCAGGAATGGGTAAAGGCTCCTGAAACAAAAATTGAGTCAGATATGTTAGTTCTTTTACTGTTTCATGGTCACAGTGTGATAAGTATTGCAATTGGAGCATTGTAACATGTGCTAAGTGACATAAGTATCATACTAGGGAGTAACAGGAATGTACAACAAGGGGCCCAATCCAGTTATTTCCTGACTAGGTGAAGAATAAGCTCAGATTTTAAAGATGTATAATCATTAGCTAAGCAAAGGAAAGGAAAAGAAGAAGTTTTTCCTTTCCAAAGGGAACCACATGCTCTAAAGCCTAGAGGATGGAGGAATCATGGTGCATAAGAAGAGTATGTATATAGGCACCAGC